AATCCAGATGCTACACAAACAGCAGCAGAGGAAACAAGGTTGGACTCTTGCAACAGATCACAAAAAATAAAAACAGCCGCTCGCAGTGACTTTGGTCATTTCTGTATGTTCACAAGGAATGGATTGTAACAAAGAAAAAAAGGAACAGTGTTAGTGAAAGAGGAAAAATGGGCGAAACCATCTTGATCCAATGGGAATGCAGTAATGTTCTATACCATTTCATCTGTTATTTCTTTTAGTCATGTTGATTTGATTTCAGTTTTGGCTATTAAAAACAAATTCTTAAGCTCAAGTGACCCACAACAAAATGAACACAACAACTACAGTGAAAGCCCTTTTCAATGGAAGATGTCAGAGATCTCAAAACCCTTGGCCTGGCTCAGAACTACCATGTGCAAATCCGTACTCTCTTAATGTTTGAAATAAAAACTGAAAAAAAAAAAAAAAAGAACACTTTTTTGAAGCACCTTAATGTGGCAATCCATTCGAGGAGTGGGTGCCACTTTTTCTTTGAGCACCTTATTGACGTGTTTTGCTATCTGCTGTCTTTCTGTTACCTGTTGGCTGAATGGCTAGCTGTTAACACACACGTATGCACAGACCAGATGTCTGGGCGTGTGTTTACTCAATGAAGTTTACTGTGGTGACTGCTGAAAGGTGGAACCCATTTCCTGATTCTCCCGCCACAGTGTTGTGATAAGATTCGAAGAAACTCTATCCCCTGCACAGAAATGTTTCTTATCACATTGTATCTTAGTATGGAAAGGAATATGGACCCTTTTTTGCAATTACTACTGTATACACACACATACACACACACACACACATTCATTCGTCCAAGTGGTATTTTCAGTGTCTGTGTGGGTGTCCCTGTTGATGCAGTTTCTATTTCCCAGTGAAATTTGAACGGAGGGCAAACTTTTCTAACCAGATTGTCTTTTCAGACCGAAGACCTGGGAATTGGGGACAAGTTTGCAAAAAGGGAGAGCAAAGAAAGAGAGAGCTTTAAATTGAAACAATAATGTCCCATGAGGAACCTGGGCTCAATGATTGCAAAGACTGTACCTCCAACCCTTGCAGGTGGGCATGGAACACTGCTTGTATCGGTCTGTGTACCATAGAAACCCTGTCTGCACAAACACACATCCAGCCGTCCATCAATAGAGACGTGGTTTGGGATGAGCAGGTCAATAGTTTTGAGAGGGAGTTTGTTCCTTTTTTTTTTCTCATTATCCTTTGAAATTGTTGTCAGTTATCAAACAAACAAATTGTTTTGAAAAACCTTGCATACGCCTTTTCTATCAAGTGCTTTAAAATATAGACTAAATACACACATCCTGCCAGTTTTTCTTACAGTGACAGTATCCTTACCTGCCATTTAATATTAGCCTCGTATTTTTCTCACGTATATTTACCTGTGACTTGTATTTGTTATTTAAACAGGAAAAAAAAACATTCAAAAAAAGAAAAATTAACTGTAGCGCTTCATTATACTATTATATTATTATTATTATTGTGACATTTTGGAATACTGTGAAGTTTTATCTCTTGCATATACTTTATACGGAAGTATTACGCCTTAAAATACGAAAATAAATTTTACAAGGTTTCTGTTTTGTGTGGAAGAGTAATTGATGTTGCTAAGAATGATGTTTGTTTTTTGGGGTTTTTGTTGTTTTTTTTTAAATGTTACCAGCACTTTTTTTGTAAGTTTCACTTTCCGAGGTATTGTACAAGTTCACACTGTTTGTGAAGTTTGAATATGAAGGAATAATTAAAAAAAAAAAAAACTCTTCTCTTGGTTTCCTAATGTGTCTTATTTATATTTGGTAGTAGGTCCATTTTAGAAAGTTTTCACATTCCTTCAGACACAAACTCTTTGGATTATAGATCAGAATGTTTATGCCCAGGCTTAAAATGTGCGCTTGCTAAAACAGAGAATCACTACATGTACTTCTCCCTGAAATATCATTCATTGATTCATTTACTCTCCTCTTCTGTTCGGGGATCCCAGAGAGTTTCGGGTCACTTCCTGTCCTTGTATAGCAGTCCCCTACCTCAATCTCCCCTGTGATCCCACCCAGTGTATTGTACCTCAAAAGGGGTAAAAAGAAGGAAAAGGCACTTCAAACCCTATTTTGAATGAAAGGCCACCAGTCAAAAATAGACACCTTCCCCAGTTTGGTTTGGGTGTAGAGTTGAGAATAAAAATAAAAATTGTTTTGAAAAACCTTTACATAACCGATTCTAGATTTTCTAGTTGCCACATTAAAGTAAAAATCAACAGATGAAAGTGA